TTCTTCAAACACCAAGATTTCCTGCTGTTTATTTTGCTGCCGGTTTTGTTTTCAGCATCAACAATGTTATCGCAGCAGGAGGACGGAGTTTGCGGTGTTGCCGTACTTGAAGCCACGCCATCAGACACCGTCGCAGAGTGACTAATAATAAACCCAGATTTCTGTTTCCTTTTCTTTTCCTTCCTGTCTTAAAACATTCTGACCTCATGCCCACCAAGACACTAATTTTAAAAGCACAGGAATTTTGGAAGAAAATCCCTGCTTTATTTTGAAAAAAATAACTTTTTTTCTTTATGACTATTAGTATTTTTGAAGCCTGAGAAATAACTTTTGGATGCCTGAAGTTGGCAAGAAGTGAGCCATTTGATAAAGGTCTAACCCTACTCCTCTTAAACAGGTTCTAGAGCAGTAAACACACCAGCAGTTCATTAATTTATCATCTCGCTTACTTTTGAGCAGGCATTTTTATAAAAGAAAGGAGTATTCAGAGTTGAGCGAGCACGGTGGACATCAGGTGTCAGATGATGGCACCCATATCACTGAGCAGCTCTCTTGACTTCAGTAACTGCGTTGGTGAGATCTCCATTGACTTCAGCTTTCCCAGGTTCCAGTAGCACTGGGGAAACCCTGACCCCCGCAGCTGGAGCTGGCTGCTCTAAGCGACCTAGAAAGTCAACTTGGAAGGAGGGACTGGCTCCAAAGCAGCTTCTCCTTCAGCCCTCAAATCACCAGATTGCTGAATTAAAACACTAATTGGATCTGATGAGTCCCATACAGCCAAACTAAAGAAAAGAGCATTAGGAAAAGGAAGGAAAAAAATCATTCATTAGGGCTGAGAGGTGAAGATGGAGGCAGAGAGATGGAAAACTGGGCCGTCTACCAACTGGAGCTCTACCAAGTCAAGGAGAACAGAATGGAGGAGTATAGGGGAAGGGAAAGCAATAACAATCTGAGTGCCGAAGGAAGTGAGAGAGGAGGAGGAGTAAGGAAAGGAGGAAACCTGAGTAACACCCAAGATGACCGCAGAAGGGATGACCGCAGTAGCCCCGCAGTTGGATGCTTCAATAGAAGAAAATGGTGTCGTCTTCAGAAAAAAGTAAGGTTGCAGGAGAGGTAGAAGCAGGAAAAGAGGGAATGAAGGCTGATAATTAGACAACCTTGATTTGGCAGCTGATGGAGAGAGGAGGATGGCGGGGTCCCAAGCCCAAGCTGTTGTTTCAGCACGGAGTTTTCCCATGCATCCGGATCCTGCACAGAGACAACACCGTACCTGGGTGGGGTGGGGCTGGGCTGGGGCAGAAGGGAAGGGCACGGGTAAGGGCAGAATTGCTGGAAACAAAGACACAGCAGCGAAACAAGGGAGAAAAATGCTGCACAGAAGCACAAGGCAGTCAGCAGGCAGCAGTCAGCAAGGACCTGGGGGTTGCCGTGTACTCCTGAGCCCAGAGGCAGGGTGACGGGCACTGGGTGCCTCCCCAGAGCACACAACATCTTTGCCTCCACCACACCGAAGGCTCAAGGCTGTGCCTTTGGGAAACAGCTGACACAGCTCCGAAGATTTGTGGGCTCGATGGAGGAATCGCGGGACGGGGTTTCCAGTCCGAGTGATCATACTGCCCAGGGAGGTTGTGGAGTCTCCTTCTCTGGAGATATTCCAGACCCTCCTGGACAAGGTCCTCTGCAGCCTGCTGTAGGTGACCCTGCTTCGGCAGGGGGGTTGGACTAGATGACCCACAGAGGTCCCTTCCAACCCCGAACATTCTGTGATTCTGTGATACCACTCTTCTGGTGT